AGCAAAAGTCAGAGGGAATTCATGACGATGTTTATGTGAAACGTAGTTTGGATCTTCTTTTGCTGCTGGTTCGGTCAGTATTGTTTGGAGAGAGATAAAACTAACAGCTTTATGATCAGCGCATAAAGGGCGTGAACACACAGTGCAGACCCGCGGATCAGAATCAGCGAGCTGTCGGCTTTCAGCCCCGACCGTCAGCTGAGAAAGGCGACATCTCACTGATTCTGATCCGCGGGTTGCGCTGTGTGTTTACGTCTTTGTGCAGAATCCGTGTTCCTGCTCTCATTTACTGTCTTAGCTGTTTGGTGGTTGTTGAGATTTCACCAGAGATTCTGGCATTTCGGGCAAAATAAATTTATATTAAAAAATCGATTCAGGATTGTAATGAATCGATTTTACGTTATCCAAGCCAGAATCGATTTTAATCGATAAATCGATTATAAAAACCCACCCCTAACTTAAATTAACAGCATGAGGACAATGACACGAACACAATGATAACTACAGGATATAATTTCAAAACACTGTAGTGGCAAGAAGGACATGCACGCTTTAATTTAAACAAAAAGAGGCATATTACGCTTTAGGCTCCAGATTTGTATTCTTGGACTCTACTAAAGGAGCTCCACACATGATGCAAAGTTCACAATAATCCTTATTTATCTTATACTGGGCATTAATGCAACCCTCTCGGTAATTCACTGTCTGGAACGGGCACATTTATCACCCTTCCCCCTCTCTTTAAAAAACTATCTGAAACCGAGTCTGAAGCATGCCATTCGGCACACAGGGTTTACTTTCACGTATGCTAACCTCATTATTTGCCACTCTGATGATGTTTAATATGAGAATACACAATTGTAATACTATAAATACGATGGAATGAAAGAAAAAGCGCAACAGACCCCACTTCAAAGGTGTTATTTCACATACCATAAGACGAGAGAAAGACAAGTATCAGCACAGCAACAAAGCGCCAGAAAAAGGGCTGCATGTATCCCATCAGTCTCTTCAGAGAGGCCCCGGTCTCCTCTTTTGGCTTCTGAGATGGTGTCCTCTTAATAAAAGATGAAATGTACTGGCCCCAGGAGATCAAAAGAGATGACACATACCGACTCCAGTAGAGCCAGGCCACTAGTGTCACGATATAACCCTGTAACACCTGCAGGACAAAGGATAGGTTTAATATAACCATTACACGTGTGTTTAGTTAGCTTAGATGAAATAAATTGGTTTTGGTTTCAGATCTTGTTCCAGGCTGAGTATCTTTTATGCATTATTTTTATTTTCTGCTCAAAAAAAGTTCAATTACACTGGAAACTGTTCAATTATCTGAGAGATCTACTACTAGAAATCTAATAAACACATATAGAGCAAAAATTGATTCACTTTTTCATTATATTAATGTGTAAATATGTGTTTTGTCTGCTGATCAGACTTAAGACATGAAAGCAATAATTTATGTATCCCATCCAGGCTGCCAGCAATCACAAAGTTGTTAAGGGGTTTCTGTCATGAAACAAAAGAAGAAGAACTGAAGACCTCCAGGGTGGCAGTAACACAATTTAAAAAGATTCCAAGTAAAAAAAGCATAAAAAATGTAGATTATAGATACATTAACAAATACTTGTATTCATACTTCTTATTTCAGCTAAATGTTCCTGATATTTTCATTATCTAATATATTTGATTGTTCTTACTGATACTGCAGTTTTAACTGGCACTTTGACAACTTTCTGCTGCAGGAGAAGTTACTGATATAGAACAATAAACTTCAACTCTTATCATAAGATTTGTGTGATGCATTTTACACTTCAAAGTAGCTGGTAAGAATCCTGCAGTTCACAGATAGCTATTACACGTAAAGAAAAGCACATTTCTTATTGAGATATGTCCCCTCAAAGTGCATTAGGTAATGAATTCATATTTTCCTTCTTGCTGCTCACCAAGGTTGCACATATTGTAGCATGGTAGGCAACAAAACACATACACTCACCCTCTCCCAGGAGTGCCACCCCCACAGTTCCTCCATGGTGGACTGCCCCAGCGCCCAGAGAAGAGTAGCGTACACTGGGAAGTGGAAGCAAAGGACCCCTAAGCTCTGGATCCCCTCGAAGCTTTTAGTCCATGGTAGGCTTCCAGGGTAGGTGAAGGCCAGGAAGGCAAGGAGGGAGGCTCTGGTCAGGGCTCCTACCCACAGGGTGACGAACGGATGAGAGAGTAGGAGAGGCGAGAGTTGGGCCAGGCGGATGGTGTGCACCACACACACATCCAGGCACACGCAAAGCACCGGGAAAAAGTAGCTCATCTTCTGCATTACGCACACACTCTGCAAAAACAAATGACAGAGACAGCTGAGTATTAATATCAGCACAATATGCAAACATGCAAAAACATAAAATAAGGATGATCTATGTGTCACCAGTGGGCAAACTTTTTTAAAGCAACTTATACTCATATATTAACGTTATAACGCACCATGCACTAGTCTTTGTACACTAGAGTATTTCCTTTTCCCCCTGAAAGAGTGACATTACGTCTATAAGTGCTGACTGGATGTGACTGACGGATCAAACATGATCAAACATCAAACACCAGGCCTACATTTTGAATGCACTTTAAGGACAATGGTCCCTATTTACTTTCACTTTGCTGCCGATTGCATTTACTTTCATTTTCTGCTGCCCTGATGATTTCTTTGAAATGGCTCCGTGAATAAACCAAACATCACACACAAACACAAACAATTATGGCAAATGTTGACACCTACTATCATTTACAGCATTGATAGCGTATACTACATGAGTTTACAGGGGATAGCAACTGTTATAATTACCCTTAAATCCAACCTACTTACTCGGTTTCCTTGACGCGACCTATTTGCTTCGACGAACGTCCCAAACCTTTGAAAAACTCGAATATAACCTCAGACCAAGTAAATAACGTTAATTTAATATCTACAAACCGGCAGCCTGTTCAGTCACGAACCGACAACCACTGACTGGCAAAACTGAAACCGAAACTAACTATTTATAGAGCTTTTGGAATGGAAAGTCCCACATACGTCCTCCTACCGAAGACCAGCGACAAACAAAACTTACCTTTATTTAAACCGTGACGTTTTTATTCCAACATTATTACTCAGAAAACTTGTTTTTGGAGAATAACTTCAGTGTGTGGAGTGCCTGCTGCCACCAACACTGCAAAGTTGATAGGATGTGCCTGATATGAAAACCAGTCCAACAGCGACCCCGTGTGGCGAGGAGGTACAATTGCATTTTTTTTTACTCTAGCGTTTTAAATGAACAACAGCTAGAATCACAGTAATTACATAAATCGCTTGGATATATATTTTTATACTTTCATATATTTCTTCATTCATTCATTCATTCATGCATTCTGGTCCCAGAAGCAACAGTAGACTAAATAGCTATGTATATTGTTTTGTGATGTAGTTTTGATATATATTGTTTAATTATCTTTATTGGTTTACATTGAGTATAAACCCATCCATTAATAGCCACATGAACCTCCTCTGAGGTATTCCTCTTTTCATCCTGCCTCGCGGCTCCATATTTGTTGCCTGATTTGCCTGGCTGACAGTCACATGTTGTCTCTTGCCTGGTCTTGGACACTGAAACCCCCAACAGAATCTTTGAACTCCCTGACAGTTTCCTTCCTTTCCCTTCTTTCCGGTTTGATAGCTGGAAAAAGCAAAGCTAAAAGTGTTCCTACTATTTTAGGAACCTTCTTTGTAAACCCCTGTAAATCACAAAACATGTGTTTGCTTTGCTGTTTATTTTGAAAAAAAAAAAAAAAGCAATAAAATACATCTTTAGTCAATTTCTTACACTTCAGCACTTAAAAAACAACAGATTTATAGTCCTTTATTGCATTAAAAATGTTTAAAATGTAGAATTTTAAACTAATTCAAACTGGATTCAGCCAATACAACATCCCTTTTTGTGTTTTTACTGTATTCTAGTTTCTATGTTGGGAAATATTTTCGAAATTTCTACTGCAGCAGTATAAAACATACTTTTGGGATAATGATTTCTTTAAAATGTATGCAGCATGTTTATACTGTAGTTCACTGAGGTTAACGTTGGAGAAAATGAAGCATTTTTAGTACCTAGTAATCATAACTGTTAATTAAATCCACAGTGATCTGTTCAAAAGTAGAATGCTTTACTAAATGAAAAAAATCAAGCAAAGTCCATCCATTCATTTTCTTCTGTTTATCCAGTTTAGGGTTGTGAACATGCAAAGTCCATGCAGGAAAGCTCCAGCCTTGTGATGGATTTGAACAAAGGGTTTTCTTGCTGTGAGGCAATGGTGCAAACCACAGCTGGTAAATAAAATAGGCTACTATGGTAAATATTGAACTGAGAGCAGCCATTGAATAATTCTAATTTGAACCCTTATGTTGACCCATTAGACCTATTATTATGGAGAATGATGTCTTTTTTCATAGCAGTTTTCAGTATATAAAAGCATATTTACATGTTGTTAGATTTCACTCGTTTTAAATTCAGTGCACAAACAAATACATTGTGAGCACTGAAAACAGGAACGTTATACATATCTGCCAGTGGGTTGATTAAAGAGTTTTAATTTAAAAATCAATACGGGACACCACATTTAAAAATTGAAAAAGTAATAATCATTTAAGTAGTAAGGCACATTGTTGTTATTGTTCTTCTAGTGCAAACTAAAGCAATTCTTCTCTTTGTAACCACAGAATTGAATGATATAAATAATTCTTGCAGTCAGACTTGCATAGATGGCCTGCATCAGAATACTGTCAGAAGACCTTATGGGATTTGCAACAATAATATTCATTTTTGTTTCCCTTTGGCTGAAATTAAGGCGTAACTTCACACATATGTGATTCATACATTTGTGAAACTGAGCTCCCATCTCTGTTATAAACTGTCACACCAAAGTCACTTGTATATGTACCCTGGAAAGCCTGGATGCGCATGCTCAGACATGGCAGCTGCCTGTGAGAAGCCCCTCAGAGCATACAGTTATGAACATTTAGCCAAATAAAAGTCGAGTTAACTGATTTGACTGCTGCGGAGTTTCGCTGCCAGAGCCACGATGGAGTAAACAGTTGGCAGCGGGGACATTTGCGAGCTGGTCTGGATGGAAGCGACGGGTTTACGAGACGTTTTCAAATGTATAACGCTGTGTAAGCAAACACGAACGCCAGAAATGTGTCGTATTAAAGGTTTCAGCCTGCATGAAGGGTTAAGAGCTTAGCCAGATATACCGCGTTACGAACAGCTTCTCGATCTGCAGTTTTCCCGTGACTCTCAGGCCCAGCAACGCCTGCTTCTACGTAAGCTAAAACATCTGGATTTGGCCACATGGGTTTGTTGTGCACAGTAAACAGCTGCACTGACGGGGTTTCAGGCTGCTTTTAGTGATGACTTAAGAGGGGAAAGAAAGATGGCTGGAGAAAATGCGATTTTAAAATCAATCGTAAAATACAACAATAATTATTTTCTTTTTCATGTTTTAGCTATTGCAGCAATGGAGGATATTGGTCTTCTCCCTAAACCCACCCCCGAAACTCCAGTCCTCAGACCCACAGTCCCTGAGACTTTTGGGCAGCATCACATCCCACCAGGTGGGTATATGAGCTCATGCAATGTTTAATCCCTGGTTTAATCCCAGGCCACTCTGGTCACTGCTAAAGACTTTAATGATATTACTGGAACGTTTAAAGCAACTTCAAATAAGAAGTATAGTGTTAGTAGTATATTTTTGTTTAGCGAGGATGTTACATTTCAAATGTGAGTGCTGGGAAGTGAAAAGGGTTTGTATGCCAAGTATGCTAAAGCCATACAAAGAGAAGAATTATCTTTAGTACACAGTTTGTGTTACCAACATGATATCAATATTTCATATTCAAATATTCCTGTGGGGCACGAGTGACTATTTACCAGTCACAGTGCACACAAATATACAAGGTAAGGCACAAAAAAAATGTGTTTGCATGTTTTACACTTTTAAATGATTATTTTTATTCATTTAAGGGTCGATGTCAGTGTCTATTTGATTTTTTTTTTAGGGTTATTTCTGTATAGTCTTGTGTTTTTAACCTTTATTGATCCCTCCAGTTACCTGTTCCTTGTCTTTGTAGCCCTTGTATTGACTGTATAGATGTCCTATTTTCTTTAACTTGTCTTGTGGATTCTGGACTGTTTATCACCTGTGTTACGTCTCCTCGAGGGCAGGAGGGGATAACACAACAACTCCGGAAACTCGGTACAGGTGTTATTAAAAATGTTTAATGGCAGCGCTCTCACAAAATAAATAACCCCAATTCAAACAACAAATGTGGGGGAGAAAGGGACAGTTAGGTTGTGCCAAAAAAAACACCAAAAAGACAAATCCAAAACTTAGCTGAGCTATTATCCTAGAAAAGCAAAAACAAGAGGGAAAAACCCTAAACCTCAACTCAAAACAAGCTCAAAATTACATGGGTGGCACCAACCTACTTACCTAGTGTTTCTAACAAAAAGACTCTACGTGAGTAAGTGTATGGGGTCCCCAAACTTACCTAGTCTACTTTACTCCCACCACAATTATCAAACAAAAGAAGGACAGCAGAGAAACTTCACGCATGTGCCAAACAATTCAAAGGAGGGAAGAGAGCCACGCCCAGCCACAGGTGAGTCTCCTTATCAAGGTGTGCACTCCTGGATTGTCCAATCAGGGTCTCCCTCCACTAATTAGTTGGATGGCCCCAGATTGACATCAGCCTGCAGTCTGCGACCTAAGGGAACGGCAAACAAAAGGAGGGGGAAAGAAAACATGCAGCCTGCAGACACGTAACAACCTGGGAAATCAACATTAAAGCTCATTTTGAGTTCAATTCCTGCCTCCTGAGTTTGAGTCTATAAATGACTTAATAATCCACAGAGCCATCGATACAAGCAAACAGAACAAAACAAAGCTTCATGCAAACAGACATATTTACTGAACATGAATGTGGGCTACAACAATGTAAAACAGGCTGTTGATGTGTGCACAATTACATGTGGAGACTATGGGGAGAGTTACTGCTGACAGAATTCTGGACAGTCAACTCATTGCTGCTTGTTACAATGTATGCTTCCCTACACAGACCACCTGCATGTGGGTGATGCAAGCAGGAAATCTGACATGGACAAAGATGGAGTGGGTAAAAAACGGTCCCACTCAATGACAATATCTGAGCAGCAGATGATCTCCCAATTTCCTGTACATCACCAAGCACCTGTGGGTGCTGACACTAGTAAGTACAGATAAGAGTTAATGTACATCCACCTTTACTTGGATGTACAAGTTTGCATGCAAGTATTTGCCTGTGCTGCTGTTTGTGTGTCTACTGGTGCATCTCTAGTTTTAATGATTACCATCCATGTAAATGACATGGATGTTTAGGCTGGTAGTAATAAATAAAAATGTCCTTGTGTGATAGTGATACATGATGCCTGGTATTTGTGAATTGACCTGTAACAAAAAATAAACTAAAATCAAACTTGTGCATCCCGTTCTTGTTTTTTAAAGTCATAAAGATGTATTCAGTATAATCATTTGCCTCTGGAAAAACAATGGTTCAGAGAAATTATTAAAATTTATGGATTAAATAGAAGTATATTATGGATTGGTAATGTATGGTGTATATAAACGGACATAAAAAATAAAAAATAATTTTTGTTACAAATATTTCTGTCACACAAGGGCATCTTTATTCATTAATAAAGTTATTATTTATAAAAAAGTTAATTTTGTGAACATTCAATGAATAATTTTATTATTTTTCTTAATTTTCAGTAACACCGGTGCAGCGTAAAGAAAGAAAGAAAGAAACAGACACACACAAGAGAAAAAAAAGGCCACATATATGGGAAGAGTTTTCCGGAAAGGAGGGGGGGGGAATAAAAGAATAGGGTAAATATGGCATATATGAGTATGTCATGGGTCCAAAAAAGACCCAGGTGTACCCCAGATTTAGACAGCTGCACTTGAGTACAGTTTTTCAGCAACGCTGAGCTGCCAGACTCTTCCGAGGATCCTTATTTGCCACTTTACAGGACTAATTATTTATTATAATAATATTTTTATAATTATTCATGTTATTATTATTATTATCCATTTATCAATTATTATTTAATATATATACTTTTACGTATATAGTTAAATTAATTTGGGTCAACAGAAAAGTCAGCTGCTTTTCGGTCCCCCTGAAATCCATGTATCACTCGTACTTCCAGAACCTTACAAAAAGTTGGATCTTATGGGTTTAACATATTCGGTCCATTTTGACCGTTGCTCATAGAACTTGTCACTGTGAATCCTCAAAGTGAATGATATTTTTTCCATAATGTAGATTTCGTTGACTATATTGATGCAGTCCTACTGTGACGGTAGTTCAACCTTTAACCATTTCCTTGTAATGGCTTTTTTGCTAGCAATCAATAGAATTGCCAACAGTCTCATATCAGACTTCTTCCAATTTTGCGTGTTTACATCTCCCAAATATATACACTGAAATAAACAGGGGATTTTAGATCCATAAACATAATTTATATGATTACACATACAAGACCAAAATTACATTACATCCCCAGAAGATATGATGAAGATATAATGATTAGCTCCAGAGGTCCCACAAAGCCTCCAACATGAGTCGCGACCTCCTCGGTGCCTTTTTTGAATTGGTGTAATAAAATATTTCACTAAGTTTCTGCATCCAAACTCTCGCCATGTATTGGAGACTGTTGTGGTCCGCTGCAGTTGACACATTTTTACCCAATTTTCACTAGGGATGAGTACATTGCCCTCCGTCTCCCTCTCTGAATGTATTCAGAATTGGTCTCTTTGCCGTGAACATTCAACTGAAATGCTTGAGTGCTTTCAGAACAATAACAAGACCAATAAATATCCCCAATATTTCTGAGAAAAGATTTTGAGGGTTTAAACTTGAATGATTGTAATTTGGAGATAAGATATTTTATAGATTTATACTGTTACTAAATGTCCTTAAATATGTTCAAGTGCATTTTTGTTATTTTTCTGTAGACATTTTTTAAAAAAGCTGTAAAATGCTGATATTTAAACACTGCTGAAATATTTTTTTTGAAGTCTGAAAAATCCCAGACCTCCAGTGCTAGCAATGAAAAATAACAACAAAAATGTTTTTCTGTTTTTTGATCTGTTTGTACAGCACATCTTAATACGGTTGCCCAAAATGGAAACACCAATTTGGATAAAGCAGGCGCTGTCAGAAAAATAACCAAAGCCAAAGTTGCAGATCCATTAAAGTGGAAGCAAAACAGGCAGAAACAGCTGAGGATGGAGGGAAAATCATATGTAAGCAAACGCAAGAAAGATGGTGAGATTGTAACCAAACACCCGAGAGCCATAGGACCAAGATGCACCTCGGATGCATGCAAAAAAGCGACAAATCGGCTATGTAGTGAAATTACTGAAGAAACAAGGAAGAAGGTGTTCAATGAATTTTGGCAGCACATGAACTGGGCTCAGAGAAAGCTCTATGTAGCAGGACAAGTCGACCGTGACCCTGTGGAAAGATCTCGGGCTGCGGGGTTGCCTTCAAGGAGATCAGTGTCACTTCGTTATCATTTGATGGTGGATGGCAAACGGACACAAGTATGTAAGAACATGTTCCTGTCCACGCTTGGGATTGGAGAGTGGTCTGTGCTCAACTGGGCAACAGAAAAGACTGAATCAAACAAGAGCAAGTCAGACAAAAAGCCAGTTGTGACTGCCCCTCCTGTAGACAGCAACACTGCAGTAGCTACTCAAGGTGAGTGTTTTTTCTTTGACTGTTTATCAGTTACTTTATAAACTCATAGACCTGATTTACACAAGTTTTGGCAGAAGCAATGAGGTATATCTCAATAATGATACGCGCATGTTAATAAAGTTCCCGTGTTTTTACAGAACACATGAACGCAACTGACAAAGACAAAAACAGGCCACCAGAAAAAGAGGGGGCAATCCGAAAGAAATCCAGAGTTGCAAAACCACTAACATGGAAACAAAATCGTCAGAAGCAACTCAGGATGGAGGGAAAACCGTACACCAGCAAGAGAAAGAAAGATGGCGCCGCTATTACTAAAGCTCAAAGGTCAATGGGGCCAAGATGCACATCCGGTGCCTGCAAAAGGGCATCGAACCGCTTTTGTGCTGACTTTAGTGACGAAACGCGGAGTGGGCTGTTCACTGCTTTCTGGCAGTGTATGAACTGGACTCAGAGGAAGGTCTATGTGGCCGAGCTTGTGGACTGTAATCCGGTGGAAAGAACCCGTGCACCGTGGACTCAGTCTAGAAGATCAGTCTCAATGAGATATCATTTGATAGCAGATGGCAATAAAAAACAAGTTTGCAAAAAAATGTTCCTCTCCACTTTGGGGATTGGAGAGTGGTCAGTGCTTAACTGGGCCCAGAATGGCTCCCAGCTAGACGATTCGGAGGAGAACAGTAAGAAGCGAATGCAGAGGAAATCCCGTAAAGCTTCCGAGCATATAGTCCTGAAGGAGTTTCTAGAGCGTTTACCAAAAGTGTCATCTTCCTGTGGTGGAACGTCCATCTCTAAGCTCTGTCTGGAGCCAGTCTTCTCAAACATGTCCGAGGTCTACAGGTGCTACTACAGCCACTGCGTAGATCAGAAGACGGCGCCGCTTTCACGCCAGGTTTTCTGTGCTGTGTTTAAAAAAATGAATTTAAGATTGTGTGACTCCAAAAAGGACCAGTGTTGTTCTTTTGGTGGAACTGGAAACTTGTTTAATGAACTTTGGGAGGAATACTGCTTGGAAAGAGGAGCTCCAGGGCAACAACTTGAGAGAGTCGGTGACCTGTAGACCAGAGGTGTCCAAACTCCGGCCCGCGGGCCAACTGCGACCCGCGATCCATTTTTAATTGGCCCGCAAGTAATTTTACAAATAGAATCGAATATGGCCCGCACTTCAACTTTTGCTTGAGTGTATTGCACTTCTTAGTTTTAACACCAGGGGGAGCTACTGTCGATCAAGGCAGTTGCTCCACCAAAAAGGACAATCACAGAAGAAATTTAGCCCAAGTTACTAAACATGGCAGAACCAAAGAAGCGAAAGGAAAATTTCAGACATGGTGGGAGAGTGAATATTTCTTCAAAGAATTCAAGGGGAAGTGTGTCTGTTTGATCTGCACTGAAATTATGGCAGTTATGAAAGAGTATAATGACCAACGTCATTATGAAACCAAACATCAGGCCTATGCATCCTACACTGGTGCTGAGCGAGAGCAGAAATTAAAGCAAAGGGTAGCTCTCCTGTGGGGTCAGCAACAGTAATTTTTTCGTGCTCAAAAGGTCCAGGAAAAGGCTACAATAGCCAGCTATGAGGTCGCCCAACTCATCGCAAGACATGGCAAGCCTTTTTCAGATGGAGACCTCATAAAACACGGCCTCGTTAAAGTCACCGAAATAATGCGCTCGTCAACAACGTCAGCATGTCCACACCAACATTGGTCTACGGCGTAGACCAATGTTGGTGTTTGTTGCCATGTTAATACCAACTTTGTATTACACACCGTTTGTTTGAGACTTGATGGTGGATCCTTCTTTTATATTTGCACCTCTTGAAGCAGTGTAGTCGTCTCGATGTAGCTGAAACAATTTAAGCACTACGTTTATTTTGAGGCCTCTGAGTGGTTGGTGTTATTTGGAGCATCATTTTGTTAGAGCACAACAAAACTGCTATTTTATCGTTTCGATATGTGTGATGTAAAAGGTCAAAGTCAACTCAAGTGTCAACGTTGATATTTTCCCTTGTGAATTAAATATTAACAGCTACCAGAAGTATTTACAGAATTCTTTCAAAGGCAGAGCAGTCACAGTCAAGCTGTCAGGACTCCGCAGATGTGTGTATGTGTGAAATCATCAAATTCAAACCAATCCGTCTCTTCACGCCCTGCTGCTTTTTACACAATATGAAGTAACGGCTCTCCCAGCAGCTCCCTGAGTCACAGTAAGAATTACAAACACACGCATACACACAAATACATGCACACATGGTTATCGCCCTTCCTTTTCTTCTCCACACAGTGGCAGGAAGTTGTCCAGATATCCGCAGGGCCCTCTGAAAAAAGAGCGAGTGAACAAAGTGGGCTGGGTGGTGGAGTTGGAAGGTGTCGGTGGCAGCGGTGATGGGGATTTGGTGACTTCACTCACAGTTAACTATTCATTCTGAGCAGCTACGGAAGAGCTACAGCGTCGTTTCAGTACGTGAAATAGAGAGTCTCATCTGAGCTTTGGCACATCAGAAGCAGTTTGTAGTGGAGTAATACCGCACAGCTGGACTGGAGGACGGCTTTTTGAGAAGAAGGGGCCAGCACCTGGTGACCGGGACGGCCTGAAGATGATAGCTCTGAGGACGTTTGTTCTTCTGGCACTGAGCTTGACATGTCAAGGTGAGTTACCCCCCTTCCCCATTCAAAGAATTCCTTTTTCTTTTGAACCTACATGAAACACCACCTGCTCAGTGAGTGACCAAACTCAACCCTGTGGCTATATGTCATGATCAGAAAGCTCATTCTGAAAGAAGAGGGGCTTAAAATGCATTCAGTTACAAACATATTTATATTTCTTTCAATGTGTAAAATATTTATAAGTTTACATGGTTTACAAACACACTTGTGTCAAAATGTAGTTCACAGTTATTTCTTCTGTTTTGTTAAAGACAAAATGAAAAGTTTTATTTTTTTTATGTCAGCAGTATATATACATATTTTTTAATCTTTCCTGGCTCAGTTTTGTAAAATTACTCGTATCCAAAAGACTCCCTTTGCTGACCGAGTGAACGTGTCTAATTACAGCTCTATTGTCTATCCTTTTTTTTTTTCTACCATGACTTTATGGTCCCGCACACACCTGCCAAACCCATTGTCCAACTCCATCGCATTCTTCATTGCCAGAGTAACAACCTTCGACCTTTATCAAGTTCCCGACCCACTCCATTTCCTGTTTCTATTCGTTTCTCCTGGAAACTTCCTGTTTGTGTCAGGCTCATTTCCTGTTCCCTTTAACAGTACGAATCAGGAGCCACCTTTTATGGCTTGACCTGCATTGTTATGAAAAGCTGCTAATGGGTCTGAAACAATGAGTGGATTGAATTTGTGTCTGGAGATAAAAACAGTTAGAGAAAA